ACTGTGTATCCAGAACGAACTTTCTTACAAGAGCTACTACCGAAATCAAGAAGACTGTTATTATACTCAGGTCCATTAAATGGTGTGATACCTCTTCTTCTAACTATATCACTACCAGCAACTGCTTTTGCGTGCTCCCGGGGATAGCACCTGATATAGCTGCTAGGCCTAGAGACGGTAACACTTTTGGTATGAGTTTAATGACTGTAGGTATGAGTTTTAAAACAAGGTTTCCAATAAAGCTACCACCTTCTATACTTCTTGACCCAGGAAGATAAATACCAGCGCCTTTAAACTCCTGAGTGATTACTCGCTCCATGTCGGGTCTGAGAGCTTTAAACAATATTGCGTTCTCAATGTCCGACATTTTTGTGCATTTGCAAAACAATTTGCGTATATAAACAGTCGAAAAATTTTTATTTTTTTTAAATTTCTAATTAATTCTGCTGCAAAGGAATCGGATTAAACGTAACATATCACATCAGACTAATCATCACATCAGACAAACAGACTAAACCATTATGTCTACTTTACCGTTAATCGCATTGAGCCGAAGGAAACGCTCGCTAAGCACGAAGCAGTACACGTGGTACGCCTGTTCACTACCAGCATTAATAGCAGTATTAAAAGGGCCACCTAAGATCCAACGAACATCAATGTTTGCCGGAGCTTTTTTCAAAGCTTCAGGATGAAGCTAACGTCAAAGTTGTAAATAGGAAAGAGGTTTGCAAAGTCTCCTAAGTTTACTTGAGAGCCTGTATCCGGGTCGCTGTATTTCATCGCAGCGTCTTGGAACATCATGTAACCTCTGCTGTAATTTCTTTCAACATCTGTGTAATTGACTTCAAGCTCTTCTTCAGGATACTTGTGATTCTTATTAATCCGCACATGAATCTGACGCAAATGAGCATTATCAAACACATGTATAGTTTGTTCTTGATTGTCTGAGCTCTCTGCATCTTGGAACGCTACGAAGATGTGTGTTGGTAGCTCTTCACTTCCGTTTGTCGTCACACGCAATGAGACGGTGGTTTGACCTCTGGTGTATCTCTCTCAAAAAATACGACCTTGCTCAAAGTATAGCATGCGTGTGTAACCAGCAACCAACTTGCTTTCTATTATGGTTTGAACTTCGATCGAAGTCTGATGAAACGAACCCAGAGCGAAAGATGTTTTATCTGAAATTTTCCAGCATCTACCCTATTTGCTCTATGAAGCGAGTTTTCAGCAGAAGCGCAAGTGAGATTCAGATTGAACTTTATACCTATGAAAGCTGAATCAATATCTTTGGCAAAGCCTAGGATGTCAGCGAGGAGAAGCATCATGGTAACGTCTTTGGCGCCCGCGCAGAGCCTGCGGCGACTTGCGAAACCAATGTTGAAGTTAGGGTTCCTTGTTGAGTTGAGGTAAAGTTAGCCCGGAAGTTACCGCCATTCAAAGCGACAACGTTACCTACAATAGCAGCAGGAAGCAACTGAGCGTTAGTTCTGTTTACATGCTTATTAGAAACAGCCCTTTCTTATTATCGAAATTTGGATCGCGGGGAAGAACTCTTTTGTACTGCAGACGCTAAGCAGAGTGGTCAACGATGGGCTCGTCAAAGAGTCGAAGTGCTGGGAATATCATGTCCGTAGCCATTGTTATGATAGTTTGTTGTTCGTACAGTATATATATTATAAAAACTTTGCGTTTGCCGATCATCAGACCGAAGTAGTTTAATTATTATTTCTGATATTTAGTCTGATGTGATATTTAGGCATACATTATGCCGTTACCTGACACGAGGTTACTTAGAATACGTAAGTCTCGAGAAGTCAGCTGCTGCTTAGCAAGGCTTTTAGCGCGCGATACTAGAGCTTTTCTAGCTTCAGAAGTCCCAACCAGCTCTTAAAGTTTAGATCTAGCTTCTTTCGTTAAAAAGCAGTGCGAACACTTTTTGCGCGCGTTTTTGCAGTACTAATACCAGCTTCAGCCCCAGCACGAGCCAATGCAGATGCACTTGATTTAGCTTTTTTTGCCACTCCTTTAACGTCTCCGTGTGCAAGATCGGCAACAAGACTGCTTACGTTTTCAGGCGAGAACTGCTCTTTTGCAGTCGATATAACAGCCTCTTTGGCTGCTGTAGCCGTGTCACGAATTGCTTTTTTCCAGCCGCCACGGCCACATTCTTAATTTTTGGAGCAAACTTACAAACGCGAGATCCTAAGGCTGTAGCTGCGGACTTCCCTACACTGAATAGCGCAAACTTTGCTTTACCAGCAAGGCCCACGAGGTTTCCAATTAATAACCCCCCGATAATTTTTCGACGAACTATACCACGTCTAATCATAGGAACTATCATTTTGCTAGCATATATTTTATATAGAAAAAAAGCCCTTATGGAAACAGCTTCTGAATCGGAATCCGCTTATGAGCGTGTATGATTACATTTTTGGACGGATGTTTAAAGTGTAAGTTACTTGCTCCCCATTTAAATCAATCATATTTCCTGACTGATCAGTGATTTCCATTCTCACTTTAATAATAAGGCTAGATTTTATGAGTGGTAAGTAGGTCGGTGGACTAGGACTTATTTCCAACAAACGTCCTGGTCCTCGGTTTGGAGTAAACGATTTAATAACATCACTAGGTTTCCCGTTTACTATACTTGAATTAACAAGGGAGCAGTGAATATGGATCTTCTGTACATCTGTAAGGTTAATTCGATTCTTACTTAAAGTCTTTCCTCTAGTAATATCATCTCCACCAACAGCAAACCCAAGAATAGGGCCCATGCTGTTATTTGTGTCAAAGGAAACTACAAGGTCACCTTTAATAGTAATCTCAGATTTAGATGTGGGAATATTTACTGAGAGCACAAAGGGTGGATCATGTCTTGCGGTTTCATCTTCATGTGCGAACTTTACGCCCAATCCTTTCAAAGCATTTTCAATAGCTTGATTGATATCGGGAATGTTGTAAGCGCCTGGAGGTATTGTGATTTTTTGCCGTTGAATTGGAGTCTGTTTAAGCTCTCCTCTCTGTGCACCATCAGTATCACCATAGTTTCCTTTTATTATCTCAAACTCAAGTTGATTGTTTTTTGTAATGACATTTTTTCACGAATTGCACAAACTAGCTTCAGTAAGAGCCACTTTTTTGTTAACCTCTAAAGGTATAGGTGGCCTAAAGCCAATTTGAAAGTCATTCGCTTCTCCATCGTGCGCCGCAATGGCTCTTGTTGAGTCTATCTCAATGCTAATTTCGTCTTCTAATACTCCAGCCATTAGGATATATCGACAATGAACAATAGCTCTGTATAATATATATAAGAAGAAAATTTTTAACGCACGTATTAATTTCTAATTTTTCGGTAATAACTTTTCGATATCGCACTTTCGTCTAGCAGTTTTGTTAAAATCGCTTCAATATCGTTTTTCAACTCACGAGAGTCATTACCAGCCTCTACAGACTTGCAGGAAAGGTGAAGGCGGTCAATAAGCTCTGATGGGCTATTATAATAGTGCACTCCAGTTCCTGTTCGTGTTGTTTTAAAGAGTCGTTTGGGGCGAAAACATTGTAACGTTCGAGGTTTTATTACATAGCTCTCGGTCAGCTGAAGAAGCAGTTCTTCTTGTAGACGGGCCAATAGATTTTCCAAGATTTTCAAAATCTATGTCGTTTATATACTCACCAGCCTCCAACCGATCAAGCAAATTTGAATTCTCTATAGCCTTCCAAGATGGTTTGTCTTTTGTTAAAATGACTAGATCATCAAGCCGTTGGGCAAGTTGCTGTTGAGTGTCCTTAACCGCTTGAGTGACTTGTTGCAGTCTGTGCTAGCATGTATTGATTCACAATCTCAAGATAATAAACAGCATTTTACCCTGCCCGTGCCTGTTTCAAGTGATACAGTGGAATCGGATGAAGAGTCGCGTGATACAGAAAAATCGTCTATAGATCCTTGCGAGAAGTCATTTGACTCTCATTTTAATAAGGTAAGAACGTATACGTATAAAATCTGCTCTAAACACAAAATTCCTTTCAACGAAATTCAATGCAACCATGTTAGCCGTATGGCGGCTGATATGTCTTGGTTTACTGAAAAGTCTTTAAATTACCTCTCCTTCATAGCAAATTTCGTTCCGATTTCTCAAAAATACGACGCCTCGGGTTGGCCTGCTGAAACCGTTGAAGCTATAATGCACGCGGTTGCTCCTCATCTTCCAAAACACAAAAGAGCCAACAAGAATAAGTCTAATGATGTCTTCAAAAAATGGATTACCACTTCCAGAATTCCGTCAAAACGCTTCCGATAGCGAACAGGAACCTCCTCAGCAGTACGATCGATTACAAAGTAGCCGTACTTCTTTCCAGTCGCTTTATGGCAAGCCGCCGCTAGCTGCTCTTTTGAAATACCATCAGCGTGGTCAGCTGCAATTTCTCTCACGTCGCGCTGGTAAAGAACTCTCATAAGCACAATACAGTCGGTATTTCGATGAATGTACTTGGAGACGTCATATAGTTGTGCGCTAAGTATATGGCTGTGACATTCTTATATCAACTTGCTGAGAAATACTCTTTGATTGGGTTTAAGCTTTTTGAATCGAAACGAATATCGTCAAAGACTACTGTCTCTGTATAAGTGTCCAACTCCTCTACTGGAATTACATCAACAGGGTCTCTTCATTCAACACATTCTTCCAGGCCGATGCTTTCGTAGAACTCTGATAGAATCAGATATTTTTCCTGGTCGCGACTTCTTGTGTAAATAGTTGATTTAGTGCAATCAAGCCAACACATAATGATGTTAATTAAAAGGTTCGTTTTACTGGAATTAGTAGGGCCTACGAACAGATAATGGCTTTCGGGCATCATCCAATGGTGGCGCTTTGATTTTTTAGCGGTGGGTGTGTCGAAATTTATGAGTGCCATATTATATCATATCACATCAGAATAATTATAACACATCAGACTAACAGACCAATTTTTTCTGCATCTATATATAATCCTGCCAGAAAATGGAAACTGCAAGCGCACCTTCATTCGAGCCAGTGGACGTTACCAGGCCAGTACCACGGATATATCCTGGTTTAAAACGTGAATATGAATACCAAGGAGTAGAAAACGTTCTATCACCCCCTTCATCAATCGAAACGAGCAACTTTCGCCTTTTTCGCATTTTAAACATTGAGGCAGAGCTCCGCCAAGAGCGTGACACTCGTCATAAGCTGCGTAAGAAATACACGCGCATTACTTGGACACTCGACACCTTATCTGCTGCATCGAGTGCCTTTACAGTCGTGACAGGAACTGGAGGTATTGCTCACACTCTATCTGGTGTGGGCGCTCAGGCTGGGGCCGCTCTTGAAGCTTTTGCAGTCGCTGGCGGGTTGATCTTAGGTGTTGGGCGTGTTCTTTGTACTATGTTTACACTATGAGTAACAAAGCTGAAGCAAAGGCAATGGAGCATAAGAAACGGAAACGTCTTTAAAATACTGAACTTTTTGGGAGAAAGTTATATTACTTAAAGTCCCACAAATTTTTCTAAGCTTACAGGCCTCGCAATTAGTCATCCACCGCTTAGTATGGGTGGTTTGCACTGATAATGTTCATTCATACATATCTTGTTAACTTTCGATGTAAGAAAATTAGGTTTTACTGTTAAGCATTCACTTCCTTTAAAAACATATATTCGCATTATTTTTAAGAGGTACAATAAATAAGGTCAAAAAATGTATGTAAATAATGTGTAATAACGTTTTTCAGTAGATGTCATTAAATTTCTACTGGGTCTGTCTTTTTCACTTTATTGTTGCTTTATAAAAGAAATAAATGATGTTTTCGTGTTTGCACTGGCTAATGCAAACCTTAGAGACGTTTTGTGAGAATTTTCCAATTCTCGATCAGCTCTCAAGCTCTAACTTCCAAAGGTCTCCTCGGGGATGGCATAAGCCTACGCAAATACATTAAACAACTTTTATTTCTTAACTAAAGGCCACGTTATTGTTTATAATATTCTTAGGTTGTTGGTTTAAAATATGTCATCTGTCATTTGAGTTAACACATATGGTAAAAAAATTATGTGTAGTGCAAAAGTGCAATTGCTATTTTTCATGTAGCTATTGCTGAAAAGGCTAATTAATTTTTTTAAATAAAGTTTATCAATCAATCAACAATGACAACAGCAAGCACATAAAAAGAAAGTAGATTGGAGATATAGTAGGTTTAGTATTGAATTTTCAATTGAATTACTCTTGTTGCAGCATTTTCCCCTGAATTTAAGAACAATTAGTTGTTGTTAAATTTCCTTATAAGTTTAAAATTTCAGACAAAAATTATCTTTGGGGAAGATCATCTCTGATCAACAACCTCCCTCAAATTTCCGTTGAATATAAAAATCTTTTAGTTTATCAAGTACCATCGAGTAGGCAATCCGTATAAAATCAATATAACGGAAACAATATTGTCCATAGTAATATTAGTTTTGATTATATTAGCTACCCGTCAATGGAATTTACAAAAACTTTATAAAGTGTTCCTGACCTTGACATCAAAAAATGTTGGTCAAGTGATTCTAAGAACTTTTTTGTAATAGTAGTCTCAACATTTTTGATGTATACAAGGTGATATGTTTCATATATGATACAAATGGTGTATGATATATGATGAATGAGTACTTTTTGCGTGAATTTACTGAATTTTTTCCGTATTCTAAAACTTCAATCAAACTCATACTCAATGATTGCAACACAGATATCACGCTCCTACCAAGTAATGGCAATTTAATGTGTTCAACAATGGCATGTTTTTTTTGCCAAAATATTTCAAATCATAGCTACGCCATGAAAATTTGCGAGGGGATTTTGAAACTTCATTCTGTGTGTGTGGTTAGGGGTAAGACTTTAAAAAACAAACATTTGTCTTGCTGTTTATTTCAAGTTATTACAGCTTTTTTCACTTTTTATTATGATAGATATCAACGAATGTCATTCTGTGTCTTCTCCTTGTGGCAAAGGTCACTCATGCATAAATATCCTAGGCTCCTACGAATGTAGATCCTCCCCTGGATACTATCGTGCCAAATCCAAAAAGAAATGCATCGGTAAGTTGGTCTTTCTAGATCTTTCAACTTATGTTGCAAGCTTACGTGACTTCATGAAAATTCTTTGAAAACTGCTTGAACTATTAAAATATGGGAAACGCTTGACAAGGTCTTGTGTTCAAATGCACAAATTATTAGCTAACTCAAGAAGGGCGTTTCTCGAAAGTCTCTGCTGATTAAGTGAATTAAAAGCTAAATCGATAACAATTAGTGGTTTATGTTACATTAGAACTGACTTAAGTTTGTTTAAAGTGAGCATTTTATGTGAAACCAACATAAAGTTGGCATTCACTTAATTAGAATTCAATTTATAAGTAAAGACAGTGAAATGTGGTTCTGATTGGTCAATAGCTGTGTTTTCATTAGTCTATGCAAAACAGATATGAATTCAACCAATCAAATCAATCAAATTGCAATCGATCATAAATGCATTTTAGGGGTAAAGTTAAAACGTCTGTTTTCAATTTGTCTGTTTCACTTTATTGTTGCTTTATAAAAGAAATAAATGATGTTTTCGTGTTTGCACTGGCTTATGCAAACCTTAGAGACGTTTTGTGAGAATTTTCAAATTCTCGATCAGCTCTCAAGCTCTAACTTCCAAAGGTCTCCTCGGGGATGGCATAAGCCTACGCAAATACATTAAACAACTTTTATTTCTTAACTAAAGGCCACGTTATTGTTTATAATATTCTTAGGTTGTTGGTTTAAAATATGTCATCTGTCATTTGAGTTAACACATATGGTAAAAAAATTATGTGTAGTGCAAAAGTGCAATTGCTATTTTTCATGAAGCTATTGCTGAAAAGGCTAATTAATTTTTTTAAATAAAGTTTATCAATCAATCAATAATGACAACAGCAAGCATATAAAAAGAAAGTACATTGGAGATATAGTAGGTTTAGTATTGAATTTTCAATTGAATTACTCTTAATGCAGCATTTTCCCCTGAATTTAAGAACAATTAGTTGTTGTTACATTACCTTATAAGTTTAAAATTTCAGACAAATATTATCTTTGGGGGAGATCATCTCTGATCAACTACCTCCCTGATATTTCCGTTGAATATAAAAATCTTTTAGTTTATCAAGTACCATCGAGTAGGCAATCAGCTTGAAATCAATATAACGGAAACAATATTGTCCATAGTAATATTAGTTTTGATTATATTAGCTACCCGTCAGTGGAATTTACAAAAACTTTATAAAGTCTGCCTGACCCTGACATCAAAAAATGTTGGTCAAGTGATTCTAAGAACTTTTTTGTAATAGTAGTCTCAACATATTTGATGTATAAAAGGTGATATGTTTCATATATGATACAAATGGTGTATGATATATGATGAATGAGTACTTTTTGCGTGAATTTACTGAATTTTTTCCGTATTCTAAAACTTCAATCAAACTCATACTCAATGATTGCAACACAGAAATCACGCTCCTACCAAGTAATGGCAATTTAATGTATTCAACAATGGCATGTTTTTTTTGCCAAAATATTTCAAATCATAGTTACGCCATGAAAATTTGCGAGGGGATTTTGAAACTTCATTCTGTGTGTGTGGTTAGGTGTAAGACTTTAAAAAACAAGCATTTGTCTTGCTGTTTATTTCAAGTTATTACAGCTTTTTTCACTTTTTATTATGATAGATATCAACGAATGTCATTCTGTGTCTTCTCCTTGTGGCAAAGGTCACTCATGCATAAATATCCTAGGCTCCTACGAATGTAGATCCTCCCCTGGATACTATCGTGCCAAATCCAAGAAGAAATGCTTCGGTAAGTTGGTCTTTCTAGATCTTTCAACTTATGTTGCAAGCTTACGTGACTTCATGAACGTTCTTTGAAAACTGCTTGAACTATTAAAATATGGGAAATGCTTGAGAAGGTATTGTGTTCAAATGCACAAATTATTAGCTTACTCAAGAAGGGCGTTTCTCGAAAGTCTCTGCTGATTAAGTGAATTAAAAGCTAAATAGATAACAATTAGTGGTTTATGTTACATTAAAACTGACTTAAGCTTGTTTAAAGTGAGCATTTTATGTGAAACCAACATAAAGTTGGCATTCAATTAATTAGAATTCAATTTAAAAGTAAAGACAGTGAAATGTAGTTCTGATTGGTCAATAGCTGTGTTTTCATTAGTCTGTGCAAAACAGATATGAATTCAACCAATCAAACCAATCAAATTGCAAATCGATTATAAATGCATTTTAGGGGTAAAGTTAAAACGTCTGTTTTCAATTTGTCTGTTTCACTTTATTGTTGCTTTATAAAAGAAATAAATGATGTTTTCGTGTTTGCACTGGCTTATGCAAACCTTAGAGACGTTTTGTGAGAATTTTCAAATTCTCGATCAGCTCTCAAGCTCTAACTTCCAAAGGTCTCCTCAGGGATGGCATAAGCCTGTGCAAATACATTAAACAACTTTTATTTCTTAACTAAAGGCCACGTCATTGTTTATAATATTCTTAGGTTGTTGGTTTAAAATATGTAATCTGTCATTTGAGTTAACACATATGGTAAAAAAATTATGTGAAGTGCAAAAGTGCAATTGCTATATTTCATGTAGCTGTTGCTGAAAAGGCTAATTAATTTTTTTAAGTAAACTTTATCAATCAATCAACAATGACAACAGCAAGCACATAAAAAGAAAGTAGATTGGAGATATAGTAGGTTTAGTATTGAATTTTCAATTGAATTACTCTTGTTGCAGCATTTTCACCTGAATTTAAGAATAATTAGTTGTTGTTACATTTCCTTATTACTTTAAAATTTCAGACAAAAAATATCTTTGGGGGAGATCATCGCTGATCAACTACCTCCCTGAGATTTCCGTTGAATATAAAAATCTTTTAGTTTATCAAGTACCATCGAGTAGGCAATCAGTTTGAAATCAATATAACGGAAACAATATTGTCCATAGTAATATTAGTTTTGATTATATTAGCTACCCGTCTGTGGAATTTACAAAAACTTTATAAAGTCTGCCTGACCCTGACATCAAAAAATGTTGGTCAAGTGATTCTAAGAACTTTTTTTGTAATAGTAGTCTCAACATTTTTGATGTAAACAAGGTGACATGTTTCATATATGATACAAATGGTGAATGATATATGATGAATGAGTATTTTTGTGTGAATTTACTGAATTTTTCAAGTATTCTAAAACTTCAATCAAACTCATACTCAATGATTGCAACACAGAAATCACACTCCTATAAAGTAATGGCAATTTAATGTATTCAACAATGGCTTGTTTTTTGCCAAAATATTTCAAATTATAGCTACGCCATGAAAATTTGCGAGGGGATTTTGAAACTTCATTCTGTGTGTGTGGTTAGGGATAAGCCTTTAAAAAACAGGCATTTGATACCAACGAATACAACTATTCTATTTGTTGCCTTTGTCACCCATTCTATAATATCCCAGGCGATTACGATTGCAGAAGACGTACATGGGATTTTTGTTCGACGATTATTTTCTATTGTAAGTTTTTATAAATGCTCTATGACAAATGTTTTACTATCAAAACTTATAAGAGAGATTCCTGCAAAATATAGACAAAAGACCGAAGCGAAGAATTTAACTAGTCCATCTAAGGTAGTTGGCTACATTTTATCGGCAAATGAAGCATGTTGAAGTTCTAAAATTTAACGTAAAAATTTTTCTTTGTATTTTTTTTTCAAAGTCGTAGTGTGGCATACTGCGAACGTTATTATACGAACAAAAAATAGGAAAAGGTTATACAAAAGTGAACTTAAATTTTTTTCTTACGATGTTCATGTATGAAATTAAGAGCCTCGTAGAATTTTTACTAAATTTCACGAAAATATTTCAATTCGTTTTTTCATTTATGCAAACGAAGCGATATTTTTTGATTTCCCGCAATCTGATTGGCTGCAGAACCAGGCATCTTTTTACGATACCTAAATTATGATCCAAAAGCGATATTTTCATTAATAAGTTGGTTGCAAAGTGAAATTTAAATTTCTAGAATTGATTTAAAAGCGATGTACATTGTTCAGCGATAAAGCACAGTGTATTCAGATGAAAGTCATCATAGCAAAAGTGTAATTTACTGTACTAAGGAAGTAAAATTTGTAAGAAAAAATCCAATTTTTTTTCAATATCAAGCTGTGTCGGCTATTTTACAACGCAAATTTCTTTAAGATAAAAATAAAAAAAAATATGTTATTTACCGTTTAGGTCGGTTTTAACGGAAAAGTATTTTCACAACGTCTTAAAAGCTGCGGTAAATAATATACATTTATTTTGATTTAGCTGTCCAAAGCGATATTTTTTTGTTTTCCAGCAATTTGATTGGCTGCGTGAGCGGGTAGCTTTTTACGCATATCTGCCGGTGGGCACAAATGATATTTTTTTGCAAGGTTTTTGCTTGCAAATTGAAATGTAAATTTTTAAGTATGATTTAAAAGCGATGTAAATTGTTGAACTAGTAGGCAGAATGTCTTAAGATGATATTTATCATAGCCAGAGTGAGTTTTACCATCCAGACGAAGCAAAGTTTGTACAAAATCCAATTTTAGTCTCAACATATTTTTTCGCAATGTATTTGTTTACGAAGGGAAATGCAAATTTTATAAAATTGATTTGAAAGCGATGTAAATTGTTTAACGAGTAAGCAAGGTGTATTCAGATGAAAGTTGTCGTTGCTAGAGTGCATTTTACTGTCCAGACAAAGCGAATTTTGCTGAAAAGCATCCAATTTTAGTCTCAACATTAAGTTGCAGACCTTGTGAAAATATTTTTTCCGTATACGGACCTCCCAGCCGGTAAATACCTATTATACAGGGGCGGATCCATGGGGTATCCAATGTGGCACTGGAAACGGTCAGAATTCGAAAAAAAATTATGAAATTCAGACATTAAACATATATTTTCTTAGTTTATTCAGTTTATTGAGTCTATTTTTTAACCAAAAACACTAAAAAAAACACATGAAATGCACTTGTTGACGTACTCAAAATTCGCATTTAAGCGA